TACAATGTAATAGGGGTGGGCCTATTGCCATATACCGGGCACATTTCCGGACTCCGTGCTACTAATGAGATTAAAAAAACCCCAGTTATACATTGCCTGACCTGGGATCGCACTCGGGACCTCTTGCCCGGCAGTCGCACTTGCGATCGACGAGGCAGTCGACGATAATCTAAGAATTTTCATATCTATATTGGTTCCATTTCAGATTTGCTAAATTAGCTCGAAAATTGCAAAGAATGAATTATGTTCTGGCTTACTTCGTAACAAACGGATGGCAATTTGAGGACCAAAATACGGTTACTCTTCTTGAAAGTCTTCCGGAAGATGACAGAGAGATCTTTAACTTCGATGTGACGAACATAAATTGGACTGAATACATAATAATATGGTGTCTTGGCCTGAGGAAGTACTTTGTGAAGGATGGACTAACCGGCACTTTATATGCACGCAAAAAGAATATGATTTTAAAAATTGCAACATTTATTCTACTGCCCTTATATTTCTATGGTTTATTCAAGCTTGTGTATAGTGCTGTAGCTTTTGTGTATGTAATTTTTTATAAGAATTTTCTTTCATTTCTTTTAAATAAATGTTCATATTAAGTAATTTATTTTTAACCGACTTCGAAAACAAATAAAAATTGAGGTTCTCAGTTTGACCTGTACTTACCTGTGTATTTACACACGCAATATATGATGATGATTTTTTTTATTTGACTTTCATGTCATACACTGTCTGTCTGTCTTCGTAATATTATTGTTTTATTTTTTTTATTTGTAATCTTGTTTTTTTTTACTGATTTTATTATAAGTTTAATTTATCAATAATTGTAATCAATTTATACAACTGTAACTAAATTTAATGTTCCAATAATTCCGTATTTATATAATTAGTAATTGACATCCTAATGTATTTTGTCTTTTCTTTTTGAGATAGATATGCACCCATGTAATCATTTGTTATTTTTCTGTATGTTTTGTTTATCGTTTTATTTTTTGCATGTGGTGTTAACCTATAATTAATTGTTGCACTTGTAAATGTTTCTATAGCTATTTAATCAGTAATGTATATAGTGTAAACAATTGTTGGCTAACCAAAATAAATAAATAAATATATCTTCACGCCTTTTAACCCCGAAGTGGTAGGAAGAGGTGCACATTACGGCACATAATGCCACTGAACAATGTATCACTCCCTTTTCACTATTCATGTTATGAGTCCCATGTAATAGGGAGTAAGCCTATAGTCATATACCGAGCACAATTCCAGATTCTGTGCTACTACTGAGAATCTTATATCTTATACCATTTATATAAAGCGGAAGAGTTTGTTTGTTAGTTTGTATGAACGCGCTAATCTCCGTAACTACAAGTCTGATTTGAATAATTATTTTTGTGTTGGATAGCGCATTTGTCGGGGATGGCTATAGGCTATAAAACATCGCGCTACGACCAATAGGAGCTGAGCAGAGCGTGTGAAACCGCGCGGAAGTAGCTAGTTAACAATAAAATCTAACTATTTATTCACTATTTACATATGTTATGGGTCCCATGCCCTTGGACCAATAGGTTATTTATAGCATGTTAAACATAAAACACAAGAAAAATCTACCTAAAAATTATTTATACATTAGTAGAGTTATCTACTAATGTGTTCCTTTTATAAGAAGTACTTAATCTAAAGTTTTTTTTTTATTTATAATGCTATGGAAATTGTCATGTATGTACTTCTAACGTCGTGGAGACGACTGAGGCCTTAGTACGAGTTTTTTTACGTTATAAGTAATCGAAACGAGTATGCGTTCGGCGCTCTGATTGGCCGGCTCCAATGAACCAACCAACCAGAGCGCCGAATGTAGTCCCGTTTCGATTATTTTTAACGTAAAACAAACTGGTGCTAAGGCCTCTGGTGACTTGCCGGACTCTTACCGGCTAAACCCAAGGTGTTCCTCCTCTGCCTGTGGCTGTGACCTAGGACTCCTTGCTAATTCACCGCACGCGGCAGGGCTCGACCTACCGCTATGCTGCGGCAGGTCCCACCACGTAGCAACCCTTGGAGGCTGATATCTTCCCTAGAGTGGCGCGCGTGGAACACAACGCTAGAGCCCACTCGCGCCTATAATAGTGGACGACTAACTCCCTTAATCAGTCGCCCGCAAAATCTAAAGATTGCAACTTTCATATTACTATAGTGACGAATATTCAAGATAATATAAAGCATGATTACTCATGTCCTGTATTAAAATAAATTTCACTTTTAGTGGTTGAGCAACCGTTTGACGTTATATCCGTCGCGGGTTAGATTTCCACTCGAAACAACACTCGCAGTAGACATCTTATTGTTCCAGATCTAGGTGTGGCGTGTATGTGAATCTGTATGTTTGTAATCAAACCTACGTCACGTGAAAAAAACATATACACCTTCTTTCTTCGTATTTTTATACCGATATGCTTAAAAACTGAACATTATCTTTAAAATCCATTCGCTGACAATTATGGCGCAAAAAATTACCCGTTTTAAAAACCCACTAGCTGTGCTGGCGGCTCCAACCGCGTGGAATAGTGATTCATAGCTCCTCCCCCGTAGTTGATAGCATGATAATATGTATATATGTAGCTTATATGTTGACCCGACCTTTTAATGATATTCATGCAAAATTTGAAAACCATGCAGCGCTTTTTGAGTTCATCCCGAACATACATATAGACAAACAGACAATAATTCTAAAAACCATATTTTTAGCTTCGGTATCTACTGTAGACCACGTACAACGTATTATTTAAAAAATATTTGATGTACAATTTTCACTTTCCTACGATTTTATTATATATTGTATATGTATAGATAATATGGACAAGAGAGTTGTGCATAAGATATTTTTTCAAATAACTTTTTACCGATTTAATTAAAACACTTTCTTGTTTCTTGTTTGTTTTAAAAGACGTTGCCCTACACTAGGATTTTCTCCTGTGTCGTGGGTGCGTTTACAAACATACAATTTCACATACCTACACATGACACCTAGACCCGGACAACAATCTGTGGATCACACAAGGATTTGTTCCATGCGAGTATCAAACCCGCGACATATTGCGTAGCAGCCAGTTACCCAGCCATCGCGCCAACCGACCACTACTACTTATCTACTTGTAGAATAGAAAACCAAATTATATGGAATTGACGTAAATTTTGACACTTGTGTATATGAATATATAAATTTTGATTTCTACTCTCTCTGTAGACAAGCGCTAATGTGGCGTTGGGTTAAAGGCCCTGGTTGGTTGGTGACCAACACTGGTTTACTCACGTGGAATACTGAGACAAGCTATACTAGTTTCAAGTCACAGAGGGACTCTCCCTCATGAGTTACGTCAGTCAGTATGTCGTACGGTAATTATTATAAAAAACTGTTTACCGTGTATTTATTTTGTTATATATTTCGTTCAAAATAAATTATTTAATGAAAATTTTAATCAAATCAAGTATGACATACCTACCTACGATATTATTATTTGTGTAAAAATAGAAGTGATGTAATATTTTCGAAATTCTAGGTCCAATGGACTGTTTTGTACGTAATGTAAAAGACATTTAAAATTTAAATTAAATAAAACAGAACAATACGAGCAATAAAGGTGGAATAAGTGAAATGTTTTTTGATCGGCCATTTTCCGTCCACAACTATACCTAAACATGCCACAGGCCATTCCAATAGCATAGGCTCCGAAACTACGGTACCGATTTGAAAAATTCTTTTACCGTTGGAATCTTACATTACCGATGATGAACATAGGCTATATTTAATAGAAGACTCGTTGGCCGAGTGGTCGCAAGTGCGACTGCCGGGCAAGGGGTCTGGGGTTCGATACCTGGGTCGAGCAAAGTATTACTGGGTTTTTAAAAATCTCAGTAGTAGCAGGGAGTCTGGAAATGTGCCCGGTATATGGCAATAAGCTCACCCCTTATTACATGGGACTCGTAACATAAATAGTGAAAAGTGGGTGTTACATTGTATAGTGGCATTAAGTGCCGTAATGTGCACCTCTGCCTACCCCTTCGGGGATAAAAAGGCGTGATGTTATGTTATGTAGGAAAACTACTTTGTTTGACTGCACGGTTGGTACGGTGGCTGGGCGACCGGCTGCCGTCCAACGTGTCGCGGGTTCGATTCCCGCACGGTACAACACTTTGTGTAATCCACAAATTGTTGTTTCGGGTCTGGGTGTCATTGTGTATGTGAACTTGTATGTTTGTAAACGCACCCACGACACAGGAAAAAATCCTATTGTGGAGCAATGTTTAAAAAAAAGAAAAGAAAGATTATACCTACGTAATATTTATGTAGGAAAAAGGAAATCATGTGAAAATTTCGATTGTTACTTTTTTTTTAATCACGAATTAGAACAACATTTTTCAATAAATATAACTCGATCTAGACTGATGATCTCATCATCATCAGAAATAAACATTTGTTCTGCATCATCAACATTTGTTGTTCTGTGTCATCATGATAATGAACAAATCATTGTCCCACAGCATTGGAATAAACCTCGGTAAAGACTAATTAAAAAATCCAAAATTCGCCAGAAGTCAATGTTATACGCGGACGAAGTCGCGAGGAACAGCTAGTTTTATTATACAATTTTGATAGCACTATAATCTAGTTACCGTTCCGAGCAATTAGCATTGTGGCACGTGGATTTTCTAGTATTTTTAGGCCCAAAATTAAAACTAATGAATTATGGGCTATTGTTCTTATTATGGATTTTAACATATTTATATACAATCATATACTTATAAATATACATACACACAATATTTTTTTTATTTAGCATCAGTCAAATTTTATAGGTTCCAATTTGCCAGTAGTAATTGAGCAACTTCCTCTGTAAGACATTGTTTAGAAATTGTATTGGTATATCTAGTTTAGAATTTGTTCGTTTTTATAATTGTGAAAGCAAAATTTCATTTATTACATAGGTAGTTAGGTTTCATACGCGATGGCATCGGAAACAGTGGATCCCGCGCAAGCTTTCATGGCGAAGATATCTGATCGGTATAAGTCGTTGCATGACATAACTGCTCGCGGAACATCCAATGTGCAACAGTTTTACAGCGGAGCTACCGTATTCCTGACTGGAGGATCAGGACATATAGGAAAGCAGCTGATTGAAAAACTTTTAAGGTGACATAAAAGAACCACTTCATATATATTTTTGATGATTTTATAATTTAAATGACTGACTCGTTAGCCAAGTGGTTGCAAATGCGACTGTTGGGAAACGGGTCTCGGATTCGATTCCCGGGTCGCGCATTGTTACTAGGTTTTGAAAAACATTCTCAGTGATAGCACGGAGTCTGGAATTGTGCCCGGTATATGGCAATAGGCTCACTCCCGGGACACACGGGACTCATAACATAAAATAGTGAAAAGTGGGTGTTACATGGTACAATGATATTGGTACTTGTGTTATACAAAAGGTAATTATATAAAGATAAAATAAAAGTGGTATTATAAAATGCATTATGTTATGTTATGTATAAATTACTAGTTTATGTACATTAGTTACTGGCGGATACAACTAATTCAGTCATAATAATTATTATTTTGTCTATTTATTAAGTTAAAGTTGAGGGTCATTTTTAAATTGACTGCCTCGATGGCCGAGTGATTGCAAGTGCGACTGCCGGGTCTCGGGTATCGGGTTCGATTCCCGGGTCCGGACAAAGTATTACTGGTTTTTTTAACAATCTCAGTAGTAGGACCGAGTCTGGAAACGTGCCCGGTATATTATTATGGCAATAGGCTCACCCCCTATTACATGGGACTCATTACATTAATAGAGAAAAGTGGTTGTTATATTGTACAGTGGCATTTAGTGCCGCAATGTGCACCTGATGTTATGTAATATGTCATTTTTAAAATGTATTTTTGCTTTCAGAGCAACGAATGTTTCTAAAGTGTATATCTTACTGAGATGCAAAAAGGGAAAATCTATACAACAGAGATTAGCGGACATATTAAAAGATTCAGTAAGTCATAAACAGCAAACATTCATTTCTTTTTATGGCATAAGCCGATACACGAGCAGACGGATCACCTGATGGTAAGCAATCGGCGTCGCCCATGGACACCTGAAACACCAGAGGCGTTACAAGTGCATTATCGGCCTTTTGGGCATTAGGAGTATGACGACCGTTGAGGATTCAGGGATTGGGAAGATTGGGGAAGGGGAGGGTAATTGGGCATCGGGTAACCTCACTCACACGACGAAACACAACGCAAGCGTTGCTTCACGACGGTTTTCTGTGAGGCCATGGTATCAGTCCGGTCGAACCGGCCCATTCGGCCCATTCTAAGTTATATTTTACTGACAAGAATTTGGACATGGTTTGAAATAAATTATTATTATTATAAAATAATAGGTATATAAACATGGTCTACAAATTGATTCTGTGTTTATTAATATGGTGCGTTATTAACATTGTGTTTATCAAATGCAATAAATAAAAAATAATATGCTTGGAAGTAATGTCGTTTAATATATTTTGATATTGACAATTATTTACAGTTGTATGACACGGTTCGAGAGCACCTGCCAAATTTTCCCGACAAAATAGTTGCTGTGTCTGGAGATACATCCGAACTAAAGCTTGGCATGAGTGATAAAGACTGGCTCACTCTTACTGATCAGGTTAGTTATAACAATTTAGTGTCCGAATAAATCATGTCTTGTTTTTTGATGAGTAACCCAGTCGCAGGTCTGCGAAAGGGGTTGATATTTTTATAGAAATATGCAGATGCAGTACCCGTAGATCTTATTTGACTCATATATTTTCTTGAAAACAGTACGTGAAGTGATGTAAATAGATAAAAATTTCCCATCGACAATTATAAAGTGAAAACTTTGACAGAAGTGGATCGAAGTCGATCGATCGAGTTACAAGTGCTTTACCGGCTTATTTTGTGGATTCAGGAATTAGGGAAATTGGGTAAGAGGAGGGTAATAATTTCAAAATAAAGGTACCAATCTATACGCAGGTGGACATAATATTCCATTTGGCTGCAACTACAAGATTTGATGAAACTCTCAAGGCAGCAACTTTCATCAATATTCGTGGAACAAGAGAGATACTTGAATTAGGCAAGTCTTGCAAAAAATTAAGGTATGTGCAGTGTAAAGACGTATTATTTTTTTTGGGTTTCTTTTGTTATTATAGCAAGAAGATTCACTGTGCGGCTGACGTCACACTATGATATTCTTAAATATTAGCCCCTAGCATAGGTTGAAAGTACGCGACTTATCTTGTAAGTAGCATTTACGCCGAGCTAGACCTTTTTTGGTGCAGCTGTCAGGCAATATTATTATTGTTGGTGAGCCGCGGAAGGTACATTATTTTATTCTATCGCTAATAGTTTCGGCAGCGCATTCGACGAAAGACATTTTAAGACTCATTTTTCTACACCTTCGGTTACATTGTTCAAATTTTGCAACAAAATTACTAACAGGTCGGGTCAACATGTAGGCTACATATTATAATGTTATCAACTAAAAGGGAGGAGCTGTGAATCACTATTCCAGGCGGAAGAAGTCGCGGGCTCAGATAGTACCTATACATATATATGCAAATTAATAAGGAACCAAATCAGTTGCATCGTAGCATTAATATTTACATAAATATTTATATGTTATTTCATACTGTAGTAAACGTGTGGCGACACATGGTCAACGGATGACGTCATAAAATCCTACATCGCACATGCAAAGTTTACATGCAAATTAACACGGATAGAAAATCCCAACGAACAACTGTTGGGCAGAAAGCCCGCCAGGCATGATCATCTCGCCTGGTCGGAGGATCCTCCTTTTCCGATCTTAGGGAACTACGAACTGTACTCTCTGTTCCCTAAAAACGTAATGTATTAACATGATGTTGTGTATTTTCAGTTGTATGACACGCTTCGAGAACAGCAGCCGGAATTTGTTGACAAAATAGTGGCTATGGAAGGAGACGTGTCCGAACTAAAGCTTGGCTTGAATGACAAAGACTGGAACACTATTGCTGATGAGGTTTGGATATAATAATATAACAAATAATATATGAATTAGCGAGTTAACTGATTTGCCTGTCGACTGTCTCGTTGGCCAAGTGGTCACAAATGCTCGGGGTCTCGGGTTCGATTACCGGGTCGGGCAAGGTGTCATTGGTTTTTTTTAATCTTCAGTAGTGGCACAGAGTCTGGAATTGTGCTCGGTATATGATAATAGGCTCATCCCCTATCACATGGGACTCATAACATAAACAGTGAAAAGTGAGTGTTACATTGTACAGTGGCATTAAGAGCTTTAATGTGCACCTCTGCCCACCCCTTTGGGGATAAAAAGGCATGTTCACTGATTATTTACTTGCTTAAGAATCTAGCATGAGATTATGTTCAGATATTAAGTACATAAGATTATAAAACATAAGATTATAAAAGGAGTAATACATAAGATTATAAAAGGAGTAATAAATACTTCTAAAGTTAACACAAAGGTATTTGTTATACCTATGTATGAAAACTCGTGTATCGTATGGAAATCACATTAAAACAACCAATAACAACAGACAAACAAAGTTTAATATATAATGACAATCATTTTCATATACAGGTGGACATAATATTCCATTTGGCTGCCACAACTAGATTTGACGAAACCCTCAAGAGAGCTACCTTCATCAATGTTCGGGGTACGAGGGAGATGCTTGACATCAGCAAGGCTTGTAAAAAGTTAAGGTATGTAGTACCTATAGTTTTTAAATACAATTAAGGGGTCGTATACAAAACAGCGATGCGATGCGACTAGGCGTCTCCCAGGGTGACCATTCCTTCGACGACCGTCAACAGCACTAAACGTTTTTCAAATTGAAAATTAGGTCGTGACATGGATCGTAAACAGAAGTGTCCACTTGTGTTATTGGTTAGGAGATACAGGAAAAAGAAACAAAGATTTTAGGAAAACTTCTGATGCGCGATGTGAATGAATTCGCAAGTTCTTGCGATGCGTAGAGGGAGCTCGCATATTTTTGCGATGCGACGTCGCATCGCAGTTTTGTGTACGAGCCCTAGATAACAAATATTTAAGAGCACATTTAGGTTTCATCAACTTTTGAATAACTGGGTTTATTGCAATTACAATGCAGCATTCTAACTTGTTCAGGGGCTGTATTAGGTGTCAAAGTTTTACTGAGGCCGTAATTTGATGTGGTTTTTATGTTAACTTTAATAAATTTACAAAAATTAGAAAACCATCTAACATCTGCGTATTCTTCCACGTGAAAATAATTATTGAAATATTCCACGTATAATTTAAACTATTTTGTGTTCATTTCCAGGTCATTCGTTTACGTATCTACAGCTTACACATTTGCTAGTGCGGATCGTATTAATGACACAGTTCAGGAAAAGTTCTATCCTAGTCCATTAAGTCCAGAAACCATGATCGGCATAGCTGAAACTATGGAAGAAGAAAGAATAAACGATATAGCAACAAGGTGAGATGAGCATACATTTAGACATTGAAGTCGTATGGATCCACTGTATGCAAGTCGTTTAGAATTGGTTAATCTGGAAGACATTGGAATAGGTGTATTTAATGTCTTCAAATAGGCGAATAATATATCTTGTAGCTCATTTGTAATATGACCAGCTAGAATAAAATTTCACAAAATTTGCTACCAGCCATTTGTTTAATTCATTCATCGTGTTCTAGACTACTTTTTTGTGGTACACTCATTGTCATTCATTGTACAAACAAATTATTGTGACTAATGAGCAAAGCCTTTCATTTCGTTTATTGGACCAGATTTGCAACTTTCGATCTGTCTTGGTATTGAACTTAAAGATAATCATTAACTCTAAAGAAAATAATTTTACATTGAAATGATGTATGTACCTTAGTTTACGTATAATGTTTTTATTTCAGTATGATTAAAAGTTGGCCTAATACGTACACGTTTACGAAGGCGGTCGCTGAAAGTTTGGTCAAAGATATGGGGAAAGATCTCCCGATATGTGTGGTTAGGCCGGCAATTGGTAAGCGATTTTTATACGAAACATAACAACATTATGCTTTTTTATCCCCGTAGGGGGTACGCACAGTCGCGGAGAACCTAACGGGTAACTGAGGCTCCGGCTCAACGTGCAGGAGAAGGAACGAGGTGGTTTTTAGTCAGTAAGAGTCTGACACTCCCTCCCGCCTCACCCAGGCGGGAGCAGTAATTCGATGATTTTCCCCCGTTAAAAAAAAAGGGTACGCAGAGGGTACAATGCCAGACTTCGTGCTACTACTGAGATTTTTTTAAAACCTAGTATAACTGTGCTATGCTATTCCTAGGAATCGTACCCGAGACCCCCTGCCCAGCAGTCTCACTTGCAACCACTCGGCTAACTAAGCGATTTTTATACATACATACATAATACGCCTGTCTCTCATGGGGGTGGGCAGAGACTCTGGAACGCCAATTGCTACGATTTCTACATACCTCTTTTGCTTCATCAAAAGTCATCAATCGTTTCATGCATGCTCGTCGGTTAAGGGTACTATTTATTTGGCCCTTCTTTTATATATCGACAATCTGGTCACTTATATGTCCGTCTAAGGTGCCCTCTACCGACGGCCCATTCATATCCGCTCTGTATACTTCTTTCGTTACTCTATTTTCATGCTTTCTACATGTCCAAAGCAGCGATTTTTATAATCGTATACTAATATAAATGAAGTCAAAATGGCTGAAAGGATCGAAATGAAATTTGGGACAGCCCTATATTATGGTCCTGAATAAGTCACTTTTCATCCGAAGGACACGCGGGCGAAGCCGTTGACTGAAACTTTTAAGAATATTAAGGTTACTTTAGTGAAGTATTGTTTTACCCGTCTCAACTAAATTATACTGACTCAATAAGAGTCGTGCCATGTTAGGTAATGCCCAGAATCAACACGCTAGGCAGGCGGGTTGGTTATCGCAGGGCGTAGCTCCTCGTACTTGTGACGCTGCTTCCCGTTACTAGTCTGAAATTTTGCTATGCCTACTTAGCATTGGTATTCCTCCATGTGTCGATTGCCAGAGCCTCGTCCGTTAATCAGCAGGATATGTACCATGAGCAGGTGAGATTGGCTAAGGCACTGAGATGGTGTTGTACCCCTTACATCCCTGCTGATCCCGAGCTTAAAACCGAGCTCAGTGGCGTGCCAATGGAGAGGCCATATTTAGCAGTGGACGAATACGGGCTGATTATCATGAATATTAAAGTACATTTTTCCTTATTGCAGTAGTTGCCACTATGAGAGAACCAACGCCAGGTTGGTTAGACATGTCCTGTATATATGGCGCCAGTGGAGTAAGTTTCACAATAGTCATGATATATTATTAATACTTATTGCCATTTATTAATGTTAGTTTTATAAATATTTGTTATAGCTTCCAATAAATTGTGTTTCAACCCAAAAGAAATTTTGTCAGTTTAAATGTAAAAACCGTGATATTGTACTCAGTAATAGTAGCCTTTCAACAATAGCATGCCAACATTAAAAGCCACTCCATAAAACGGAGTAAACAGAATTCAAAGTATGAAGAAACCCCCTTTTTTGTATCTATTCTATTCACCCCTTGAATTCTATTCACTACAATCTACCGTTGTTAATCATTTTGCATTTTTAAATATCATAATGAAAAACAATACCACTCAGTATAACACAACAAGTATAATTACAGTTAAATGACTATTATATCATTATTTAATTATAACCTAATGTCTGATGAACGTTTTCAGTTCTTATTCGCATTGGGATTAGGTGTAATGCACGTTTCATACGTCAGACTAAATAATCAGTTAGATATCGTGCCCGTGGACTATGTAAACAACGCTATAATTGTTGCTGCGTGGGAGACTGCTAGGACTAAAAGACCAGCGCCACATGGAGATGACATAAAGATTTACACAATCGTTTCATCTTCTAGAAATCTAGCAACTTGGAGTAAGATATTTTATGAGTTCTTTTAAACTGTCAAACACCAAGCGGTCACCGGTGACCGCAACCTATTGTTCTTTAATTGTGTCTACCTCTATAATGACGGTACTCAACGAGTTAAGGATAAGCCGGTAATCGAGCAGACGGATCACCTGATGGTAAGCGATCGATGATGCCCATGGATACCCAGAACAGCAGATGCATTACAAGTGCGGTACCGGCCTTTTGAGCATTGTTGGGGGTTCAGGGATTGGACTGTAACTGAGCCTCCTGTTACCTCACTCACATGACCAAACACAACACAAGTGTTGATAAGTTTTATGTCCGTCAGAGGCCGTGGTACCACACCATTCATGCCGAAGGTCCCACACTTACTATTTTTTATTTTTGTACTAAATAAATGTTAGTCAGAGATTAATGTACCTACGGTAATTTTTACCCTTGTGTTCACGTATACGTGTAGTTTCAATTAAAAATGATGATGAAGATGATAATAATGATGGTGATGAGGATACACTAATCTTAAGTTTATTTTATTACTTTCCAGACACATTGGAGCATTTTCTGGTCAATGAAGCCCGAAAGTATGTAACGCCAAAGGCAGTAGGATATGGGTTTGTTTGGTGTACGAACAATCGTCTACTGTTTTGGCTCTACACCTGGCTCCTGCAACTAATTCCCGCTTATATTATCGACGTAATTGCTGTTATTTTTGGATACAATATGAGGTAAATTTATTTGAAATTTTTGGACTACGATAAATATGTTTCGATACATTGATTGATAGAAGTTGTTATTAAAACACGAAACAACATACAATTGACTCAAGTTTTTTTGAAATAGTATGGACACCATCATAATGTTTGATGGTCATACAATACATGGTGATTGAGAACGCCAATGATATTTCTGACAAGAATGAATCCAATTAGACTGTAAGATATAAAAGACTATAATCACTTTTACAGTATAGCCACTGTCCATGAACATAGTCAATTGTCACTTTTTATCTGCATACTTAAATAATTAGCCTAACCACACATGACCATGGTTCTGGATTAGGTATGTGATACCAAGATTAACTTTATGAATTCACGAGGAAAATATAATTATTTTTCGTTACCTACTGTACTATCACACATTATAATGCAAATAATATTACCTTTATCTTTACTCTTCTCTACGACGATAATCTACACATAACATCACGCCATACACCCTGAAGGGGAAGGCAGAGGTGCACATTACGGCGCTTAATGCCACTGTACAATGTAACAACCACTTTTCTCTATTTATGATATGAGTACAATGTAATAGGGGTGAGCCTATTGCCATATACCGGACACATTTCCGGACTCCGTGCTACTAATGAGATTAAAAAAACCCCAGTTATACTTTGCCTGACTTGGGATCGCACCCGGGACCTCTTGCCCGGTAGTCGCACTTGCGATCGACGAGGCAGTCGACGATAATCTAAGAATTTTCATGTCTATATTGGTTTCATTTCAGGTTTGCTAAATTAGCTCGAAAATTGCAAAGAATGAATTATGTTCTGGCTTACTTCGTAACAAACGGATGGCAATTTGAGGACCAAAATACGGTTACTCTTCTTGAAAGTCTTCCGGAAGATGACAGAGAGATCTTTAACTTCGATGTGACGAACATAAATTGGACTGAATACATAATAATATGGTGTCTTGGCCTGAGGAAGTACTTTGTGAAGGATGGACTAACCGGCACTTTATATGCACGCAAAAAGAATATGATTTTAAAAATTGCAACATTTATTCTACTGCCCTTATATTTCTATGGTTTATTCAAGCTTGTGTATAGTGCTGTAGCTTTTGTGTATGTAATTTTTTATAAGAATTTTCTTTCATTTCTTTTAAATAAATGTTCATATTAAGTAATTTATTTTTAACCGACTTCGAAAACAAATAAAAATTGAGGTTCTCAGTTTGACCTGTACTTACCTGTGTAATTACACACGCAATATATGATGATGATTTTTTTAATTTGACTTTCATGTCATACACTGTCTGTCTGTCTTCGTAATATTATTGTTTTATTTTTTTTATTTGTAATCTTGTTTTTTTTTTACTGATTTTATTATAAGTTTAATTTATCAATAATTGTAATACAATTTTTATAACTGTAACTAAATGTTCTGTTACTGTAAATTAATGTTCCAATAATTACGTATTTATATAATTAGTAATTGACATCCTAATCTATTTTTTCTTTTCTTTTTGAGATAGATATGCACCCATGGAATCATTTGTTATTTTTCTGTATGTTTTGTTTATCGTTTTATTTTTTGCATGTGGTGTTAACCTATAATTAATTGTTGCACTTGTAAATGTTTCTATAGCTATTTAATCAGTAATGTAGAGGTATATAGTGTAAATAATTGTTGGTTCACCAAAATAAATAAATAAATTTATCTTCACGCCTTTTAACCCCGAAGTGGTAGGAAGAGGTGCACATTACGGCACATAATGCCACTGAACAATGTATCACTCTCTTTTCACTATTTATGTTATGAGTCCCATGTAATAGGGAGTGAGCCTATAGTCATATACCGAGCACAATTCCAGATTCTGTGCTACTACTGAGAATTAACAATAAAATCTAACTATTTATTCACTATTTACATATGTTATGGGTCCCATGCCATTGGACCAATAGATTATTCATAGCATGTTAAACATAAAACACAAGAAAAATCTACCTAAAAATAACTCTACTAATGTGTTCCTTTTATAAGAAGTACTTAATCTAAAGTTTTTTTTTTATTTATAATGCTATGGAAATTGTCATGTATGTACTTCTAACGTCGTGGAGACGACTGAGGCCTTAGTACGAGTTCTTTTACGTTATAAGTAATCGAAACTAGTATGCGTTCGGCGCTCTGATTGGCCGGCTCCAATGAACCAACCAACCAGAGCGCCGAATGTAGTCCCGTTTCGATTATTTTTAACGTAAAACAAACTGGTGCTAAGGCCTCTGGTGACTTGCCGGACTCTTACCGGCTAAACCCAAGGTGTTCCTCCTCTGCCTGTGGCTGTGACCTAGGACTCCTTGCTAATTCACCGCACGCGGCAGGGCTCGACCTACCGCTATGCTGCGGCAGGTCCCACCACGTAGCAACCCTTGGAGGCTGATATCTTCCCTAGAGTGGCGCGCGTGGAACACAACGCTAGAGCCCACTCGCGCCTATAATAGTGGACGACTAACTCCCTTAATCAGTCGCCCGCAAAATCTAAAGATTGCAACTTTCATATTACTATAGTGACGAATATTCAAGATAATATAAAGCATGATTACTCATGTCCTGTATTAAAATAAATTTCACTTTTAGTGGTTGAGCAACCGTTTGACGTTATATCCGTCGCGGGTTAGATTTCCACTCGAAACAACACTCGCAGTAGACATCTTATTGTTCCAGATCTAGGTGTGGCGTGTATGTGAATCTGTATGTTTGTAATCAAACCTACGTCACGTGAAAAAAACATATACACCTTCTTTCTTCGTATTTTTATACCGATATGCTTAAAAACTGAACATTATCTTTAAAATCCATTCGCTGACAATTATGGCGCAAAAAATTACCCGTTTTAAAAACCCACTAGCTGTGCTGGCGGCTCCAACCGCGTGGAATAGTGATTCATAGCTCCTCCCCCGTAGTTGATAGCATGATAATATGTATATATGTAGCTTATATGTTGACCCGACCTTTTAATGATATTCATGCAAAATTTGAAAACCATGCAGCGCTTTTTGAGTTCATCCCGAACATACATATAGACAAACAGACAATAATTCTAAAAACCATATTTTTAGCTTCGGTATCTACTGTAGACCACGTACAACGTATTATTTAAAAAATATTTGATGTACAATTTTCACTTTCCTACGATTTTATTATATATTGTATATGTATAGATAATATGGACAAGAGAGTTGTGCATAAGATATTTTTTCAAATAACTTTTTACCGATTTAATTAAAACACTTTCTTGTTTCTTGTTTGTTTTAAAAGACGTTGCCCTACACTAGGATTTTCTCCTGTGTCGTGGGTGCGTTTACAAACATACAATTTCACATACCTACACATGACACCTAGACCCGGACAACAATCTGTGGATCACACAAGGATTTGTTCCATGCGAGTATCAAACCCGCGACATATTGCGTAGCAGCCAGTTACCCAGCCATCGCGCCAACCGACCACTACTACTTATCTACTTGTAGAATAGAAAACCAAATTATATGGAATTGACGTAAATTTTGACACTTGTGTATATGAATATATAAATTTTGATTTCTACTCTCTCTGTAGACAAGCGCTAATGTGGCGTTGGGTTAAAGGCCCTGGTTGGTTGGTGACCAACACTGGTTTACTCACGTGGAATACTGAGACAAGCTATACTAGTTTCAAGTCACAGAGGGACTCTCCCTCATGAGTTACGTCAGTCAGTATGTCGTACGGTAATTATTATAAAAAACTGTTTACCGTGTATTTATTTTGTTATATATTTCGTTCAAAATAAATTATTTAATGAAAATTTTAATCAAATCAAGTATGACATACCTACCTACGATATTATTATTTGTGTAAAAATAGAAGTGATGTAATATTTTCGAAATTCTAGGTCCAATGGACTGTTTTGTACGTAATGTAAAAGACATTTAAAATTTAAATTAAATAAAACAGAACAATACGAGCAATAAAGGTGGAATAAGTGAAATGTTTTTTGATCGGCCATTTTCCGTCCACAACTATACCTAAACATGCCACAGGCCATTCCAATAGCATAGGCTCCGAAACTACGGTACCGATTTGAAAAATTCTTTTACCGTTGGAATCTTACATTACCGATGATGAACATAGGCTATATTTAATAGAAGACTCGTTGGCCGAGTGGTCGCAAGTGCGACTGCCGGGCAAGGGGTCTGGGGTTCGATACCTGGGTCGAGCAAAGTATTACTGGGTTTTTAAAAATCTCAGTAGTAGCAGGGAGTCTGGAAATGTGCCCGGTATATGGCAATAAGCTCACCCCTTATTACATGGGACTCGTAACATAAATAGTGAAAAGTGGGTGTTACATTGTATAGTGGCATTAAGTGCCGTAATGTGCACCTCTGCCTACCCCTTCGGGGATAAAAAGGCGTGATGTTATGTTATGTAGGAAAACTACTTTGTTTGACTGCACGGTTGGTACGGTGGCTGGGCGACCGGCTGCCGTCCAACGTGTCGCGGGTTCGATTCCCGCACGGTACAACACTTTGTGTAATCCACAAATTGTTGTTTCGGGTCTGGGTGTCATTGTGTATGTGAACTTGTATGTTTGTAAACGCACCCACGACACAGGAAAAAATCCTAATGTGGGGCAATGTTTAAAAAAAAGAAAAGAAAGATTATACGTAATATTTATGTAGGAAAAAGGGAATCGTGTGAAAATTTCGATTGTTACTTTTTTTTTAATCACGAATTAGAACAACATTTTTCAATAAATATAACTCGATCTAGACTGATGATCTCATCATCATCAGAAATAAACATTTGTTCTGCATCATCAACATTTGTTGTTCTGTG